TGGATATTTCAAATGCCATCAATCCCAGAGGGAGCTCTACATGTGAAACAACAGCCCCTCCCTGAACAAAAGCTGCAGAAAAAGAAATAGGCCGAGGCTGAACAGCAAACCCAATAAGCCGGACTCTGTAAGTCTTATACACTGTGGTATGTTTACAATGTTACGCTGTTAGTGGTCTCTGTTTGTGAGCTGATCAACGTCCTTAAACATGTGATCGCTGCACAGTTTGAGCTAAAGATTGGCGACACACTAAGCTGTACACCCCCGAGTGTACAGTTACAGAAACTGTAATCCTATTTTTCTGACTGTTCACTGCTCATTCACAATTCAACATATGAGGATAATTAGACGCATTTCTAACTATAATTTAATCATGCTAAGTTTAATTGAGCTAATTAAGCATCAATGGGGTTGTTCTAGACTAGTTGTCTAACTTTAACAGGATCAGTTCAATCAAAAATATATTTTTCCCAGCTTCCCGAGAGCTGCTGTATATCTGGACATGTAGATATTTTTTATTTGAAGTGTTGAACATTTGAAACAGAAAAGCTCTTTCATCAGAAGCCTTACTCTTCTTTAGTTGACCTATTCCTCTTATTTAAAATAGGACTTTAAATCAAACCGTTGACAGAAGGATTTGTGGCTTATGCTAAGAAACATAAATATACTTTCCAGAAGGACACACTCCTTTTAGAAAATACTTAGTAAAGCATCAAAAATCGTATATATGTGTGGTCAAAAATCTCAGCGACAGATCCTTAAAAACGAAAAAAAGAACTGTCTGCGTGGCTATAGCATTGAAAATGTTAGCATGAAGTGTATTTTTCGAAAATGAAACAGGCATCTAAATAATTAAGTTGTCTATCTACAATCCATCAACACCTGAAACGCTGAGCAAGTGTGCCACTATACCAGTCAAACTCCCCTGACAGGTATCTGCAACAAAGGCACAAATGTGACGCGCTTCTCCGTAAACTTCCTGATAAACAAATTATTCACAGTCCCTTTGTCTCATTCACAAGATCTTTTTCTCAGCTGATTGTTTTAAAGAGGCCAGAGGTGTTGTACCAGAAACAATGGAAATCACTCAATATATTCAGAGATAGGATGTGAAGTACTGAGAGAAACAAGACAGATAAAAGCCATGATAATATACCTCTCAAGGTCTGTTGGCATCTGATACTGCTCAGTGTTTTTCTCAAAGGACATATAAGGCTCCTGCTCCTCATAGATGCCCTCATCATTATACTGCCAGGCTGTAGGCTGTGCAATGGACCCCCGAGGGGATGTGACTTCCGTTCCTACATGCACATTAATGTAGTCTGCTATTTCTTCATATTCAGGCATGTTTTCGTAGTAAATATCCTGTTCTGTTCCAGGAGGAAAATCATCTCCGTCCACGCTTTGCTCTACTCCGATCAGCGGGCAGGAGTATTTACGCTGAGGGAGATGCATGTTTTGGTCCTCACATGCATCCAGCTCCCTGTGCACGTTTTCCCTTTGATCATTATCATTAGCCGAGCTCTGGCCTCCTTTCATCAGCTTGGGAAGCATCATCACAGAGAGCTTCAAGTCCAGCAGTTTCCGGAAAGAGTTCCTCTTCTGTCCTTCGGAGCGCAGGAGGTCAGCGCCGGAGAAGGACTTGGATTTCTGTTTGTTAAGGCTGGAGCGAGAAGGCTTCATTATTCCAGGTGTTAGGAATTTTCTGCTGGTCTTCTCCACTGGTGGCGCAGGCAGCTCCTTCATCACCCTCTCCTTTAAAACACAATCTTGTAAAGGAAGTGCTTGCCTTTTCTCTTCGTCTCCTGATTTCCACACTTCTTTTTCCTCAGAGGATGCCTTCCTCTGCATCCATGCCATCGGGCTGCTGTTCCTCTTGGGCTTCTTCGGAGCTACTTTGACCACCTCTGCTGCCACGCTGCTGGCAGGAGGCTGGCTCAGATTGTGCGACCTGCTAGAAGGAGGAATAGGTGTGAAGTCACTGAATACTGACTCCTGATCACGCGTTAGTTCTTTCTCCACCTCTTCATCCTCCTGGTCGACTGACACCTCCATTTCCTGGATGATGCTGTCCCAGCCCAGGTCTTCCTCCTCCACATCCGTAGGGAGTGTCTGAAGATCATAGGTCGGTGCTTTCTCGGGTGCTGACAGTAAAGGCTTTTTCTTGGGCGGAGGGGCCGGCTGGGCGCAGGCTTTCCTTGCAGACAGAAATATTGGCGCCTCATTTCCAACAGGTACACTGACAGACAGTGATGAGCTGCCCTTCCCCTCCGATGACAGCTTCACCTCTTTGACGTTCATTTCCCTTCCTTCCTGGCTCACTATCTCTTCACTCTCCTCCACCATCTTTTCCTGACGGGCCAGCCCAGCTGACCTGGGTGTCTGTGGTACAGGGATAGGGATGGGCTTCCTAGAGGCTGCTGGGATTGGTTTTGGCTGGGACACACAAGATATCTCCTCTGAGCCAAGAGCATCTTCCTCTGGTCCTCGCCCAGGTGAACTCTGAGGTAGTACGTTACCGTTTGCCTCATCGCTCCATGTTCTGTGAGGAAGGGACGGCCTAACAGTCGGAGGTGTTGGTGTCTCTGTTGGACTGGAGGTGTTGATGTCTGTGTTGAGATTTTGGTCCACAGTTTGTTGAAGAGGTTTATGGTTTGTGAGGTGAGTAGTGGTAGCAGTGTTCATCACTTTGCACTTGTTTGTTTTCTCCCTACTCTCATCCACAGAACCTCGAGATGTAGAGACGATCTTCCTGTGTGCTGACGAGTTCCTGCCGCTGCACATGCAGTTCTCCTGGCTGCACAGACAGATCGGAATAATATAATCCCAATCTGGCTTTTTGTTCTCTTGCTGTATTCCATTCTGCGAGTTAAGAAGACCTTCGGTCTGTGGCATTTCTGTTACAGATGTTTGGAGCAGGCTCTTCGCAGCAAGAGGTTTGGACTCCACAGCAGTGGTGAGTTTGGAGAGGCAGGGTTTGGGGGCCACTACCGGTTTAGCCCTCCTCGGTGTGCCAGGAGACGGGAGAGAGAGCCCTTCTCTTCTCGGGGTTGCAGGAGACAGTCCTGGCCTCTGGGGCTGGGCCAGCTTCGGTTTGGGGGCCACAGGTGGCTTTTGCATGCCTACAGAGAAAAAACAAAACAAATGCACTTCAGATTTTGTGTACTTTATCTCCTCTGAATTAAAGCCTCTTGTCATCTGAAATATATCGAACAGATTAGGAATCTAACTATATTTGATGCATTGTTGGTGGTCTGACAGATGTTGCCCTAATAAAAGTTCACTCTTAACTCTGCAGCATTGATCCTAACCTAGTGACAGCTTAGTGTTGAACTGCTGTAAAGTACTGGACCACCTCTCCGGGGGTTCAAATATCACATGGCTTATGTTTGCCACTCCACACAACAGCACTGTAATCCGGCTAATGGTGCGTGTCAACTGGGCAGGGGAGGAGGAGGAGCAGATGGGAGATGAAGAGAGGGATAGTAATGGAGGAAGGGGTGCAGGGACTTCCAAAAAAAAGTCATGCAAATTAGCACATCTGGCTGAACCAATGCCCTAAAATTCCTCTGTGGTGAACAGAACAATAACAGCTGATCTGCTGACAGAGAGGGATGTTGGTTTTTCCCTCTGCACATATTTCCTCATTCAGAAAGTCACCACAGGTTAGACACAGCCAACAAAATCTTTCTCAGGAGTTTGGATTTGGAGATTTTACAGTCAACCACTGAAGTATACATAGAAATAAGTGGGATATGTCCCATATACTATAATACATATCTCTAAATAAAATCAAAGGATTGCCATTTAAATAGCTGTACAAAACATTGACTTAAATACTTATACACACAGTCTGTTTTAAGTATATGATCTATCTCAAATCGTTTTACGGAATTGTTTGTCTGTATGAACCTATATATTTGAAACACAGGGGCTGCAGATTAGCTTCAGCTAGAAAGTAAACATTACCACTGTTGAATGTATTCTCCCTGTGTAACACTGTTTAGATGTAATTCCCCCAATAAATAAATGAAGTAACAGATAAATAAATACATGGTTTTACAATAAATCGACCTGCTTTGATTTTATCTGATCAACTAACAAAACTCTGACCAGAACAATCATCGAGTTTCCGTCGCTTACCTGAGTTAATCATCGCTTCACTCACTTCGTTTCTGTTTTGTCAACTTTTTTAAATTCACTGCAGCGGAAAGAAACCATCCTTCGTGTCCGGATACATCTCAAGCCGTCGACTCCAAAATAAGTTATCAGTCAAAAAAGCACCTTGTCTCCGCTTTTCTTCGAGAAACTCATGTGTTCCTGCTGTCCACAGTTCATTCTCCCCGCAGCCGCACTGAGTGGCTGCCTCATTAATGCAGAGCTTCCTTTGTTTCCATGAACGATCCAGCAGGGGGCCTCAGGGGTCACACTGACAGATTGGTGTAGCATTTACTAAATCAGAATTGTCTCATGTGCACATCTATTTACCCTTTTTCTACCTAATTGCATTTTTACTAAATCATCACTACTCACATTTTCCACCAACGCATCTTTCCCCAGACATCATCATTGCTAATTTTAACACAGCAAGTGTGACTATGACACAAGAGACATATGAGTGGGAGCCAGCTAATGCTTTCTAAGCTATATTTGATCAAATTGGGGAAGTAAAACTCAAAATACATCATTGTATGGTGCTTTCACCATGCTGTCAATCTGTCACCAGGATCATAAATCAGTAATTTTTACTGGAACAGCTCTGGCTAAGAGGAAGGAAGTGATATGAAGGACATCTTGCCAAAGGACATTAGATTAATAAATGTCAAGAGATATTAGATTTATAAAAAAGGAAACACAGTACTGAGTAGTAAATCTGCTGTAAAATATTGCAGTGAATGCAGATGTTTCTCATTGATATTTGATTAAAATTAAACCCCAATTGAAATAATAAATCATGCAATGTTTATCTGGATGATAAATCCTGATCCTTGATGCCTGTGTTGGCCTACTTCTCTGTACCAAAATAAATTAAAAAATGTCACATTTCAGGAGCAAGTTATTAGACTAGTCTACTGCATAGTAAGCAAATGAGGCTGCAGTTTAACAGTAGTAGTGTACTAGTGTTTTAATAACTTAAAGTGGACTGATACAGATGTAATCCCGTCACAGAGCATATTCAGTGTGTGATAGCAACACGAGGGAGTGCTGGAGTCTTCTTTGCTTTGATACAAAAGTCTCTATGTTGCCGGTTTGATACTTCAGGAACTTTATAGTTTTTTCTGCTTAGAAAGAAGACATTTAACACGTTATTACTTTTTATCATGCATTAAATAACAGTATGGACCATCACTATTCATAAGAACACAGCACATGTATTAAATAAAATGTATATCTTGTTGCAGGAATCTCAGTCACTTACTTCTCATTGGCCTTCTGGTTTCTTTCCACTGAAGGAGTCAGTGTTTTGTTATCTGCTGTGTTTAGTGTGGAATTTTGGGAATCGTGTGCATCTGCGGCTGAAGGGGTATCAACTGTATTGCTGCAAGGAAAGGACAGAAAACTATGAAAGTAGCCTAACTAAGTAGTACCATTTTGAGATACTTAAATTCTTCACTTAAGTGTTTCTATTTGTATTATATTATTTACTAACAAAACATGTAAGTAAATGATATGAATATATATTGTTTACAAATTATGAAAACAATTAAAGCAGTAAACTTAATTTCTGCATGTATAAAATGCATTTCGTTAAATATTGAACCTTGTCATAATAATCCCTGTACATATATTCCTGTAACATTTAAATGTAACACTTTACATTCACACTGTTTCACGACATTACAGTAAAGATTGAGTTTGATACAGTAGATCAGGGGCGTGTTGCAGTAATACCTGAATTTATAGTCTGTAGGTAGGCTCACACCTAATCTGTAGTCTCTCCTTGTTCTGGAGATTTGCTTGTGAAGGTCCCTGACTGTGCAGTTGTGACGACTGAATATGAAGCCCACAAACAGCAGCTTCCCTCTGATGTACATCTATCACATGAACAAGTAACATCACATTAGATGTGTGGAAACGGAAAAACAAAACTATGAACACTGCAGTTTTTCATTGTGGTATTTAAAAAGCATTAGTCTACACTGTATATTTAGAGTATGGAGAAGTGGCTTGCATCACAATGTTGATTCTCTCTTTTCCAAATGTTCGTCATATCAGTAATGTGGAAATTTGTACTTTTCACAACTGAGGGTCCTAGAGTGTGTGTTCAATGTGAGTAAGACTTAGGTTTTCTGTTTGATTTATAGACTGTAGAGAGGAATTTAATCTTACAGCAAAACTCACTGGAGCAGCTGTCATGACTTTGGGCTAAAAATTAACCAACCTTTTTGTAATTAAGAAGCGCCATCCTTCACTGCTACTTTAATAATAACTGTCTGGTTTTCTTGGTAAGGACAGTAGCTTACAACATTCCTCCTCACCACATCCCCCTCATACTTTCCCCTCTTCAGCTTCAGGCAAGCACTACTGCTGCCACCCAGAGGAAACATTGAAACTCTGCACTGAGCTGAGCCTGCAGTGGTTTTACTGACCAGGACCATCCCTGGAGCTGCGTTATGCCGCTGCTGCAGCAGGATGCTCCCCGCAACACAGCTGGGCTTCCCTGTTGACATCTCATACCTCACCAGGCGAAATGAATCCATCTGGCACTAGATTTAAAACAAAAACCTGTTACTGAGTTTGCTGAAATACATACTTTTCAATAAACCTCTGACTGTAGTATGTCTTTCTCTGATCCTCTGTTTTTAGTATGTGCAAAGCAATGTATATTTCACATTTAGTGTACTTGCTGTAGGACTGGATTACAACAAAGTAAAAGTGATGTACATGCTGCAAATTGGAGACTGTAATGATGCGCTGTGGGGTTCACAAAATAGGGTGAAAATGCTGCTTCTTGTGTTGTTGTTATTTTCTGCACCCCCTGCATGTGAGACAGCACTCCCACCTGAGAACAGGGCATGGTTCTGTGCTTGTTCCTCTTCCTGTACAGCAGCTGCAGCACCTCCTGGCCCGGCGCTGCTTGTGTGTTGACGTGTTGAGGTGGAGGAGTCACACACACCACCAGGATCTGTTGACTGTGCGGAGGCTGGCCCATGACGAAGGCATCGTACTCCGGGTCCGTCAGCACTGGCATCAGTGCAGCGCTGCAGCAGCACCGCCTGCGTCCCCCCTCCCCGAGCAGGGCGGCTCTCAGCAGAGCGGGGCACACAGTGAGGGGGGTGGAGGGGGTGAACGACGGTGGGGCAATAGCGGAGGGCTGCAAATCTGCACTGTTTGGAATAAATACTGACCTGGCAGAGTGGGAGTGATAGTGAAGCTGTCATTGTAAATAAACTATTGCTCTTATAAACTGCAGTTTATGTCAATTTGAATGAATGTTTTTATGTGGTCTTACTCAATTTGGATGTTGCCATGAATTTGAAGGGGTCCTATCTGTGTCACAAGACGGGGTTCTTCGTTTGTTTGCTTTTTTCGTGTCCTACAAACATGCAGATCAAAACAGCACTTGAAATTGATCAATGAACAGTGTGTTTGTGTAACTACTACAAAATCAATAACTAGGTAGGTAGGTTCTGAATTTGGTTTCATGTATATGTTGCTATGCAGTGGAAGCCAGCCAATCTTGGAGCAGATGTTAACTAGAACATTGCGAAAAAATAACGCCTTTACATTATTAGGATTGCATATAAAAGTGGCACAAATCAGACTTTAAGAACAAAAATATCACGTGATTTGTGCTGTTCAAAACAGATCTGGGCCACATTAGCCCAATAAAGAAATCTGTTTTGAGTCACTTTTGCCTGCAGTGTGAACATAGCCATAGATTAGCATGTAACTACCAAGTATGGCTCCAGCTTGAAACAGTAAAATAAAGTACATTTACAATTAAAAGTGTTAGTGTGGTCCCAATGGCAAACATTCTGGTCCTATATTCTCATGTTAAATGTGCACCTGGGCAGCTTGACGTAGCAGTCCAGAGGAGGTCTTTCTGCCGGTGCGGACAGATGTCTTTGTTGTTCCTGTAACTCTTTCCTGCCCTCCTCTGGCCGCACTGCTCTCGCATCTGCCCGCTCAGGTGGGTTCAGAGAGGGCAGAGCCGCTGACTGCACCTCCCTCCTCAGCCTGGTCCTCAGTGGGGCATCTGGCATCCGTTTCATGTCAGGACACTTGATACCTGAAGGAGAGGAAGAGGTCACTCAGAAATGCACACAGACACTGAGTGACACGAGTGACCGTGAACAGGATCCTGATGGAACTATTCAATAATGTTGAGTTTGCAGGATGAGATGATACTGTAACTTTTTGCTTCTCTGAATCACTCCTAAACAACCTTACCTTGGATCAGATTGGCTCAAAGAGACTTTTTTTGCACTGCATAGTTTTATAACTCGCGTAAGAACACGATGTTGTTCTCATAAAAGCTATAAATGTACGAACCTATGGCCACACGGTAATAATCCAGCCAGCCGTCCAGGGTGTTTCGTACTCTCTGCTGAAGCCTCTTCAGCTCCCTGCCAACATGCCCTCCTCTTCTCCACTGTGCTGACGGCTCCTCCAGCCCCTCCACCTCTCCAACCATCTGGAGCACCTCCAGGGAGCACACTGACACCTGCCACACATCATTACTCGCATGGTGGGTTAGAATATATAGAACAACAAAAGGCATTTAGCCAGCTGTTTTATACAAAGTGACTCAGTGAAGGTTTCTCAAAATAGATCCTCGGTATTGTTGTAACACTTGAGTCTATAAAGTTATGTAATGGGAAAGTGTCTGCAGGGGATAAAAAGTGTCTTACAGGTGTTAACGTCAGGTTCCTCTTGCTCTCTAGGACCACAACAGGGTTTGTTGTCTTCCTCAACAGCAACAGGTCTTGAGCAGAGTCGGAGGTCAACTTTTCTTCCGTCTGCAAACATGTCTGTCAATACACGGGTGACGTTACAGATAGGAGTTTAATCATAAATCCAATATCTATTAAACATTAATCTTACCGTTTCTCGTGATTTGTTAAGGTTGGACAGGACAGAAAGAGGAAGTTGAACACTTTCGTTGTTGCACCTGAAGCTGAGCATGGCAGAGGTACCACTGAGCAGCCTCACAGAAATTACATCTGACAACTGAAGGAGACAAAAAAAACTGATTTACAAGTTTTCCCTCATAAAATGTGATAATTATTTCACGATTATCTAATAAGCACACTGTTATAAAACCCCTATCCCCTGTCAGAGAAAGTTTGTGTTCAGTCATCAGTAGGTCATGCGTCATACCTCTCATGCCCTGTTTGTTTGCAGTTTCTCAAATGCACTTCTTACAATTGTCTCACACGTCAGGTTCTTTCTTGTCACTGACCATATATCCTGTCAGCAGATAAACTTTGGCCTGGTTTTTGTACAACATGTAGCTGTTTGTTCAACATAGCTGTTTGTTCATTGCACAAAGAACATGGATATAATCTATTATACTATTAAATATGTCAGAGGTTGTGTCACTCTTGCACACTGGCTGCACCTGAATATCAATCTTCTCCTTCAGTGTGCGGTCTTTCTGACAGCTCCACTCCTTAGTGATCTTCCCATGCTGGTCACATATGAATCCACCATCCTGGTCCCACACTGCTGTAATGACAGAGCTGGAGAACAAGTGTAAACATTGTTAACGTCGTAACACATACATGGTTATAGAAAGGCTGTTTAAAGACTTTCAGCATTTAGGAGAAAAGCCATTTTTTGCTTTCTTTGGGGGAGCGAGATGAGAACATCAATAATAAACAATGGGTGCTACATATCCTAAATTCATAAGATAACTGATCATTTTTTCAAATGTCGGAAGCTCTCTAAGAAAAGCCAGAGAGGATATTATCCTGACATTTTATTTACTTATTCTCAGCAGAGCACCCGTTTTATTTGCTCAGACTGTCTGACATATCAGCACCAAACTCACGTTAGAGGGTTTGTCGCAGCCCCGTTCCCGAACGCTGTGATAGTCGCCAGAATAACGGGACACTCGCTGTCATTGAACACGTTGGTATAGAAGCCTCCACACGGCAAACCTGAGCGACTCTGGCATACGGCGATACAACCAGACGGGTAGCTGAGAGCCCAAGGTCAAGGGTCAAAAGGTAATCTGCAGTGACATATTATCCATATGCTGCACAATGCCTTTCTTGTACGACTACTGGAACTTATGAATAAACATGACGAGAGAAGGATACTATATGAAGGAGGAGCCGTCGTTGATCCTGTAGTGTAGTTTCTGCCGTGATGGATCCATGGGTTTCATTTCTGGTACCTGCGGCATCCCGTTGACAAGAGCAGCAGGCTGGACCTTTCTCCTCGCCCTCCTGTCCTTCAGTTTGACCTTAGCATCACCATAATGACGGAGAATGAGGGGCTTGTTCAGGTCCTGCTCAGTTTGTAGTTTTCTATGAAAAGAGGTGATATTTGAATGTTTGAGAACTGGTCTCTCATGTAGCACATAGCAAAAATAATGACTTAATTGAAAATACAGTAAGGATTACTCCCAAAAATTAAGGATTAACTCAACAGATCATTAAAAACCAAAACAGCAGCCCAAGCTAGAATATTCTAGCCATACTTTTAGACAAACGCTAACGTAAGAGGTATAATGTTCATCATGTTAATTATGTTAGCGTGATAGAAGGCATTTTAACATTCACTAATTAGCACTGAACGCAAAGAATAGCTGAGTGGGATGTGCGCAGGATTTTAGTCAGAAGGTTGTGAAGTAAGTTCAATTTCAACGTTATTAGGGCGCCACAAGATAAGTAATGGAAACACCAAAGTTATTACAATCCAGCCTCAGTGGTTGAAATTAGCAAGGTCATATCTGGGAATCAAGAATATCTCCAATCCATCTAATAAATGTAAAGACGTGTGACTAGATTAATGACAAACTTTGAACAGCAGGTGAGATAAAAAGTCAGATGATCACCAGAGTTGTTGAATCATATCTGTCAGTGTAAGTGCATTGAATAGTAATTGAGATATTGCAGTCTGGACTGACAGATTGACTGACATTGCTGTCCCTGGAAACATCTGATTATCAGATCACATTATGGAATATGTAACCCCTCATTTGACACACATTTGCACACGTTTACTGTATGCATTAGTAAAGGTTAAAAACCCACTGGAGACTTCTTGCGGCCTGGAGTCGCTCCACCACCCACTGACAGAGACGGATCTGCTGAGCCTCATCACAGGAGGGCAGCTTCGACTGGATGATCCAACCTGGACACAAATCACATCCAGCTCAGGCAGCAGAGAGACGACCAAAGACACAGCGGCCTTCATGAACACAATGTCTCACCTGGATTACTGCAGCTGTTGGATGAGATGGAGAAACTGACAGTACTGGAGCTGAGAGCTGCGGAGGAAAAACAGATCTTAGTCAGTTTATCAGCTGAGGTCTGATTCACCTTTTCATTGAATCTGTGAAGACAATACTTCAGTCCCTAACAGTGGCACTAAGAAACTCAATACTGTAACTCAATAGCTCTGTAACTGATTAACAGACAGCAGTACATCTTTACCCAGCTACCGGCTACCTTGTCCTATCTGTTAAACTAATCCCCTCACTTCCACAAGCTTGCAACCGAAGCTGTCCTCACATTCAGTCTTTAAAGGTCATGAGATATTACTTAATGGGTTTTCACTCTCACTGTTATTGTCTCTTTACATTAGAGCCCCAAATATAGTTATGTCTGTTCTGACTTTTCTCAGTTTTACACAATTGTTCCTTTGCAACACTAGCATTTTCTAATAATGCATATTTTATAAACTGTATGGGCTTTAACTAAAGGCACAACAGGGTGTTAATAAATCATTTATGAAAGCTTAAAGGCCATTTGTAAAACATACTCTTGGGTTGCCAGGTTGCATATGCATATTCTTTTACTTGCTTTGTCAAACAGTTTATTGACACTTACAGCTTGATGGGTAAATGTAGTGGAAGAAGAGCCATCATTAATTACTTTCAAATATGTATGCCTGCAGAACTAACATGACATATTACCTTAATCAATGTATTCTTGATTCTAATAGCCCAATTATACTAGTTAGTTATTCATATGCAAATGCGTAGATTTTGGTCCAGGTGCTGTGCAGCCATTTTTCAGAAATGTCAAATTAAGTAGCAGGTTTTTTACCTGGTTTATCATGAAGGCTTAAATAAATGATCTATTAACCATTATTAAAGATGAATTACTGTGCATGCTAAGCCCTTTTCATGCACAGGACAGAAACAATTCAAACAAATATTAAATATGTCAATGTTAATATGCTTTTTTAATTACACAGCATATATTGTATAGTGAGTTAACAATCTATTGTTGGCTATCTTAAGTGTGGTAGAGATGTAGCCTACTGTATCTCGCCATACTTTTGACAGTGAGTTTCTTTAGGTATTTCACTTTTCCTCAGGTTTTATTTTTCAGGCAGAGGTGGGCTTCCATAGAAGGGACCCAGACATATTTATTTTTAATTTAATTTACCTCTATTTGAACTGTGTTTACGCTTTTTCACGCGTGGATTTGAGCTGAGTTGTGGTTTTCTCACAGAGGGACTTCCATTTTCCACAACACATGAGTTTCTCCCTCCTGCCTCCCTCTTGTCTTCGGCGGACACTTGACTGGATCGAGATTCATCCAGCTTCCCGGAATCTTTGGACTTCCGTATTTCGGCAGCCTGCTCCGGACTTTTAAAGTGCACCGACCCCGCAGTCAGATCCTTCCAGGAGCAATTCAGAATATTTACAATCCCGTGAGGAATCCGGCCCTCCTCAGTCCACTTATGTTGTGAAAGTAGGCGAGCCAGGTCATTTAATATCAGAGGAGCTGCTCGCTGGTATGCGTCCATTGGATCCTGGTCCTTTATGTTGAGTGCAGCACCGACAGAGGTATCAGGTTCACCATCTCCACATGTTTCACCTGACAGCCTCTGAGTGAGCTCACCACTTTTACCTTCTGTGTTGTCATCTGGATGACTGTGGGAAAATTAGACAAATTATTTCATCGCACAAGAAGAAGGTTAAAAGACTGCGCATAGCAATAAGGGACTTTGATTACCTTGCTTCTTCACGTGCCAAATTAAAATGCAAAATGTTGCTTCGTGCTCCTTTAATTCGGTTTCGTTTTGTTGGCTGCGTAGAGATCAGTTGCCAGGTTAATTTATTGCTGATTCTTATAAACTGTAGTCAGCTAAATTAATAATTTCCTCACCTGGTCAAAGAAGTACAAAGGGCCACATCTGAATTCTGTCAGCCCAACAGAAGAAGTCATTATTTCTTTCTTTTTTTTTAAATCCACTTAAATGTCCTTAAAATGATCGTCAAACGCAGAATAGGCACACAAAAATCTATAAGTTTAGTGCTTTAAAATCCACCTCCACTGCTGTCAATGTTCCTCAGTCCACTCTTTGTGCTGGGCTTGTTGCTTGGTTACAGTATACGCCTCTCCAAATACTCGCGATACGCACCATCAATCGACTCCGGGCATCAAACAGAAAGTTAATCTGTGACAAAACAAAAACCCAAAACATTATTGACAAGTAAAATAAGCTGTTTTCCATTGGGGACACACGGGAGAAGTGACACACAAGTCGAGGAGCTGCAGGTGCGCACAGTAACCTGAAACTCAGCGCTAGACAAAGTGATGATTCTGGCAGTGCAGCTTTTACAGGCCATTTATCAGGGCATGATGGCCCCATAACTAAGCATTTCACCCTCCACAGAGCACATTGTGTTGCTGTCCCAAAATGTAATTTCCCCCTGCAGGAAGAAGAAAAAAAAATCTGATGATAAATGAAAGTTTTTGCTCTTCGTGACAGAGCAGGGTCGTCTTCCCACTCGGGTCAAGTTGTTGCGCGGAGATTGTCTAATGGCTCATTATTGGCTCAGCTTCCTCCTGCACACTTTTCTGCTTTGACCACTGGAGGCTCTCAGCAGTTTATGCGTCACTTCACCTCTCAGTCGCTGATCATGGCGGAGCTACAGCTCCAGCGTGAAGTGGAGCCTCAACTTCTCAATGGGGACGACCTGAACGAGGAGAGAAAAGATGCAGACGCGTCAGAATCTGTGAAGAAGAGGAGAAGAAAGAAGAAGAGGAATAAGACCCCAGCACCAGGTGAGAGGCATCACTTTGCGATTGGAGAATGCTTTGAGAAAATAGCGCAGAAATTGTCTCCTTTAGTGCCACTCGATAAAGAGTACGAGTATATCAAATATGCGGGACAGGAGACTTTCCAACCTGTCAGATGGGACTCCTGTCCAGCTGTCCCAACTCAACTAGACACCAGTCTCTAGAAAATATGAAATTACCATCAAAGCTGAGTGAAAGCTGTCATTTGAAGATATGGGTGGAATCAAATGTAATTTTACTCCAGATTAAATATGTTCCATCCTATAAATCCCCCTAAACTGCATGAAATTATGTAATATCCACAGTTTTAGTGCAAAAAGATGACAACCACTCAAATGCAAAAAAAGCGTGATGATAATCGCAGCTTTACTGCCTCATGATATGAAAAGAAAAATCTAAGAAAACCTAAGTTTGTTGAGCCTGCCATAAGTCAAGTGCTGTCCACACAGCTCTGTCTCTGAAGGGCTAAATGTCATAATGCTGCAAGGTACAAATGCCCTTGAGGATATTGACTCTCAGGGTAAAGAAATAAATTATGCACAGACCCTGCCAAGTTGTGGATGCACTTTTTTGAAATCACTCTGAAGCACAAATGATTTACTTACTCAATGTGTGTGTGTGTTTGTGTATGTATGTGTGCCTGTGTATCTTAATGCATGTGCATGATTGCCGATGGTCTTCACGTGCGTGTTGACCTGCACATGCATGCATGCGGGTGTGTGACTTTGCAGCAGGGACAAATGAAGCTGAGGGCGATGGAGAAGCTGGAAGTGTTGGGGATGTGACAAAACACATGGAGCAGCAGTCACTGGAGGACAAAGAGAGGGAGGAGGATGGAGAAGAAGGTAACTCCTCACCATCATCTTCCTCATCATCTGCAGCGGAGATTGTGTTGAACTTTAAGACCCTGATCGTGCTCAGTGAAATTCAACGTGTTACATCTGCAATGTGATATCTGATTTTCAGTAGCACACTGGGGATTGTGCCTAAGCTCCTGTCGATATTTGTCACGTTGCAAAACTGTATTGAAACTAATGATGCGTTCAACAGATGGGGAAGAAGGAGAGAACTCAGCTGGAAAAAAGAAGAAGAAGAAGAAAAAGAAGAAAGGATGTAAGCCGTTTACTTCTCAGTGCACCAAATGCATCTCTACACTCTGCCACAGATTGCTTATTGGCAAGGACTGCTTGAACCAAATTCACATTAACTACATTCAGGATTTTAATTGAAACTGCAGTTTACATCTCATTTTATAGATACACAAATAACACTCTAACAGCAAAAGCTCTTCTGTGTTTTGTTCTACATCACTTTAGGTAAATACAACAGGTGCATAAAAGCAGGTTGACTTTTTTTAATTAGTGTCATGAGAGACACATAATGTAGGACAGAGAGGGCAGGTGTAGGACAAAACAACAGAGGACCTTATATATGTCAGGCAGACAGAAGGAAATTAATGACATCACAATCAGTAAATGCCAGTCTCACAGTGGAGTGAGCAAACTGAAAGTAAGTCACCCCCGTAAAATGTCATATAACCCACTATAGGACACACGTGCTTTTATATTGCCACAGATTTGTCTCACTTTATGATTAAATAGGTTTCTTTTACTCAGGGGTGCCTTGCTTAATTAGATCTGTAAGGCAGGAGCTGCACTGAATTCTCTCACTAGGTTCAAATGCAGAAGTCATGAACATTTGGAGGATAACTTGTATTTTCTTTTCTCTCTTTGTGGTTGCTTTCCTCTGCTTCTCCTTCTCACTATCTGGGTTACAGTGAAGGGACAGACTGACCCTCCCTCAATCCCTATTTGTGAGCTGTTTCCCAGCGGAGACTTTCCAAAGGGAGAGGAGTGTGAATATCCACCATCGAAAGACGGGTGTGTGACCTCCACATCTCTCCCTCACACTCAGCAGTAGTCTTCCATTGTGTGACATGCCTAGTTTTTTCATTTAGGTCTCTCTGCTTTGCACTCATTCATGTTTGGACAGCGTAATTAGGTGCAATGTTCAGTGTTAATCTCCTGTTCTGGAGCAAATTCATTTGTCAGATCTGCAAAGTATCAACACGACTTTCACCTGTCGTGTGTCGTATTCTCATTACCCGTATTTGTATAATGAGAAAATAATGAGTTCCTCCTCTCTGTGGTGTGCCTGTCTACCCCCCACCAGGCGCAGTGCAGCGTGGCGGACCACCAGTGAGGAGAAGCGGGCGCTGGACATGGCCAACGAGGAGATGTGGAGTGATTTCAGGGAGGCAGCCGAGGCGCATCGGCAGGTCCGCTCCTATGTTAATAGCTGGATCAAACCAGGGATGACCATGATTGACATCTGGTGAGATATGTGCTGAAGCGTTGACCTTGAGCCCCTTGTAATGGAGTTTAATGTTGGCTGCTTATACCTGCCTTGGCTCAGTTGAGACGTTTTAATTTGGCTTTAAGTCCAATTATTCTTATTTATTTATTTTATAATTGCTTTTTCAGTCCTGTGTTTATCGACTTATGTTGGTGTTAAGTGTTTTTAACACTCACAAAGTCTGTTTATAACCTTGGAAGTGGGGTTAGTGTATGTGTTTGTATGTTTTTGGATTTAGAAGCACTTGATGTTTTCTGTATGAAAAGTGCTTCATAAATTAACTTTGATTTGAAATTGATTCATGTCTGTTTGAAATGTTTCAAGTTTCAAGGCTTTTATTGTCATTTGTGCATAGCTACAGTGTAGTTATGACAATCTTAGGTCACAGGCTCCTCCAACAGTGCAACACAATAAAACAGATAAAATAGTACAGGTAAATAAAATAAAATAGAATATAATAGAAAGTGCAGATGCATCAAAGCAAGCATGATTTATTCTGCGGCTTCATCCTTTTCTTCTGCATGCATTATCTGCCCTCAAAACAGTCTCATTGTTTCTGTCCTCCATTGTCCCTATTTCTGTTTCTGGCAGTGAGAAGCTGGAGAACTGTTCCAGGACGCTCATCAAAGAAAACGGGCTAAAGGCAGGTCTGGCCTTCCCCACCGGCTGCTCCATCAACCACTGTGCTGCCCACTACACCCCCAACGCAGGAGACCCCACGGTGCTGCGCTACGACGACGTCTGCAAAATCGACTTTGGGACGCACATCAACGGCAAGCGCTCGCTAATAACTTTTTAAGTGCTTTAGGAATTCTGCTGTGCCTTGGCATTTATTATGAAACGGTAAAATGATGATTACATTATAATTATTTCTTCCTGGAAAGTGCGGTTCTTGTAAGTTAATTAACTTTTTTTAAATCAAGACATGATGAATTTTCCTGCAGAGTGATAACCTCATTGGAACTGACTGAAGTTTTTGGTCTTTCAGGTCGAATAATAGACTGTGCCTTCACCGTCACCTTTAATCCAAAGTTTGACAGGCTGCTGGAGGCTGTGAGAGACGCAACTAACACCGGCATTAAGGTGATACAGCTCTTCATCCTTCCCCAATTCCTAACAGTTAAACCTATACAATAATGCCATAATAGAGTATTTGGGTATATTTGGCTCTAATGATGGATTCCCAGTAACAACTAAGTTTCTGAATCTGGCTTGATGTGACACAAAAATGCAGAGTAAGTAAAATATAATATAATTGTAATGATCTTATACATACTGTAAACAAGGTATTTTTGGTCAAGATAAGACTGTAAAAATGTTATAATAAAGAAAAAATCAGGTACAGTATATTTAGTAGATTATCTGAATACATACAGGCATTAAATTGCATGAAAAACACTGAAAATATGATAAATGTGTAAAAATAAATCAATCCCCTAGTCTACATACATTTCCGTTAAAGGAGTTGGATAGTTGTAAACATTTTGAGTAAGCAATGTATACCATATGGAAAATGAAAAGGAGATAAAATGTACAGCTTATGCAACCAGAAACTACAAAGTGTATTGAGACCCTTAATTATAACTAAGAGAAGGGAAGTAATAAATCATGAAATGCAAATAATCATGTGACTCTATTTACATAGTTCAGAATTCAGGAATGATGCATTATGTTAATCATTCTAGAAAATCATCATTAGATAAGAGTTAATTAACATAGTAGCTATACCTAAAACTATCATGTGTTTTAATCTAGTCCTTGATTTTCAGGTATTCAGGAATTACCATTTGTGAATGTATTAGCAGGGTTCCTCATTTGGGTCTCGGGAGTTTGTGTTAAGTGTTTCCACGCTACCTATAAATAAGACACATCACATTTACTATCCAGACTGACTGTGTGTGA